TGCTATAGTGGTCCGATCTGAACAATTGCTTCGGAGATTTTAGTGATGCATTTGATAGTGATAGAATGCATATAATAGTTTTCCATACAAGGATTTGATTTTGATCGATCAGTTATATGTACATAAGTTGTATACTATGGTGGTCCGATCTGAACAATTTGTTCGGAGAGTTTAAGTTTTAAATAATAATATAAGTCAGATGGAGAGATTTGTGGAGATAATTTGTAAAATATAAAAAATTCCATAAACCTACAAGGATTTCAGTTTGAGAATCTGACAAATGTGCAGTTTATTTGAGAAAAAAGAACACATGCAAAATTTCAGATTGATATTTCAAAAATCGAGTACACAAACGGATTCAGCTTGTCTCGCTGATGGTTCATTTACATATTTTACAAAGTACTTCCGACGTTTATTTTTGGGTGCTACAAACATCGTGGCAAACTAATACAGGTACACTGTTCAAGGAACAAAACATGATAGATTTGTGCAGATTATTTACACTTTAATTAAAACAAATCTTCAATTTAAGACAATAACGTTTCATAATTATTATGGACAAAACACATTCATACATACATACGTTCTGATATACATATGTAGTATATTAATACAAACAAAATCAATATTATTGTTTATACTAATTAGATACAAATTAACAGAAGCTAATRCATGTATGTATGTATATGTATATACATTTGTACATTAATACTATATAAACAAGAAACCGACACTTTCAACTCAAATAACGAACGCATCGTGGAAAATGGGGTAATTCACAACCATAATAAGTGTGCATATTGCGGCAATTAGCAGATAACCTGAGTTCGCACAACGGCGGCAACGACCATGAGATGTTCTTATAAATTTGTATATATGTACATACATACACATGTGTTATATTGTGTACTTTAATAAGATAAGATTTCTCAGCCGCATATTCATTGTAGATGCTGTTGTATGGGCTATGCCACATAAATAAAATCGTAGGCTCTAGCAACAACCGGCTGATTGAACCTTATCAGCTGATTATTAGTGATATTGCTAATAATAGTTTATACAGGAATCAGATGCGTACGTGCAAGAAATATTTTGTATAATTTTCACTAATTTGTGATTTATTTATGTGCTTGTTATGTACATATATTTTCAATATAATTTCTAGTTTCTAAATTTGTTTTACTTTGCCCATTTTTTGCTACAAATTTAATAAATGCCACAACCGGTTGATAGATGTCTGGTCATTACTAACGATGTTGTTTGTTGCTTGCTTGTCAAAGTGCCGGTTGTGCACGTTTTGTTAGACAATTGGCTTTCAAATGTGTCTGGTTAAAAGTGAATACATACATTTATTCATATAAAACAAGACTCGAAAACAATTTGCTTTACACGGCATTTGAAATTTTAATATTTTTTGTTAATTTTTTTTTTTTTTTGGTTGCTTTGTAGTCATAAATGACTGCTTTCTTTGACCCTTTGTGAGAGAGATTGACTGGCATTACTCGATATTTTTATGAGCAATCTGAAACTGTATAAGCTTTTATGATTGCTTGTCTCGCAATTTGCGATTAGCAGAAGTACATGTGTATATGAATTAACCAGTGAAACAATCATATGTAAATAAAAGTATGCATATGTGCATACATACATATATGATCATTTAGTCATCTTTTTTTCTTTTCATTTTCCGTGCGATATTTTTTTAAAATTTGTTGCACGTTTATGGTCTCTGTCGATTTTGTCATATTAGTTATGCGAACGAATTTTAATTTTATATTTATGAAAAGATTTTTGTATGTTTGTGCGTTTAGCCATTTATTTTGTCTCGTCTTTGACCATTTTAATATTATCAAAACGTTTTAGTATAAAATTACATACATATCTATGTATATACATATGTAGAAATGTACTATGTATGTACATACATATGTATGTGCGTTCAAGTATCTTCACCAAACTGCTACTCTTCCTTCTTCTGCATACAGTATGTTGGAATGTGTAGAAATGTTAGTCATGCGAGCAGCCATGGAATTGTGTATTTTTTCTATTTGTACCCATTATCTATTTAACGGCAAGCCGGTAATAACCAGTTAGCTTAGACGCAATCGCCAACACACTTTGCCATCAACTCTATCTGCAATCAAGGCGACACGACGAGTTTGCGCACCCAGTAAACAAGGAATGGAAATCAAAGCAAAAACGAGGAACGATAATATTTATAATAGAAAGAAGCGATATGTATGTATTCAAAATTCGTAGATTAGAAAGAAACGTAAGCCAAAACGAAAAGTTTTAAAGGAAAATTTAGAAAATTATAAGGACAATAATTTACTGTGGACTAAATGTGGCACTCCCTCCACATAAAAAATATAAATGGAGCTGCATCAAAAATATGTTTTAATATAATTTAGCCAAGAAACACACACACAGTTTCCCCAATAAAATCTAAAAGAAATCAAGAGCTTTTGTAAATATTATAGTATGTACTTTTTATTTTTAAAGTAAACAAATAAAAATCAATTAATTACAATACCATATCTTGTATATGTATATTTTAAAACGTTTAGAGGTGTCAATATAATGTAAGGTATTTATAATATTATCACAATATTAGTAGCAAAACTAATTAGTAATGTCAATATATTTTTTTAAATTTATAAGTGTCATAAAGCATTTAAATGCCAAATATAAACACAATTACTAACTTGCTTTGCACACACCTCTAAGGGTGTAATAAAACTATATATTATTTGAAAATTTATTAATAAATTATAATAGCAACAAAAAATAGTAATATTTTTATGATTTACTTTAAAAATCAAATCGAATGACAGCATATTAAATATACATATGAATGTTATCTATGTATGTATATGTTTATAATCATTAAATCACAGTTCACTTTATATAGGGTGTAGAGTGATTTGTTTTATATTTAAAATAGAACTACCATTATCTAAAAATGCCCTTTTGACGAGTTCATAAAATGATTGTTATTTCCTTAGCAATCGATAATCGAGCAATTTAATTAACAACGCAACACGTTCATACTAATAAATACCTGACGAACTTAAGTGGAAGCACTTAAGTGGCTGATATGGTAATAAAAGGCTCAATAAACGTGCATACACACTACTATGAGCTAAAAATAGTAAGACTTTGTTCATTATTTTAAAATATTGCAACCCTTGAAACAACATCCGGAATAGCCTTCAATACGCATACTGAATTAACGTTTAATATCTTCAATTTACTCAAAAATGTTTATCCGGAACGGGCGATGAGTTTACTAAATAGCCAGAAGTTACACGGATCTAAATCAGGCAAATACAATGGTTGCGGCAAGATATTTGATTTAAATTTTGAATTTTCACTAATCCTTCCGATATTCCAACGATGCCAGTAAGATCTCTGATTATTAATCGTCGATTCTCATGCAACAACTCCTTTATTTTACCGATGGCATGATCATCAGTTGATGTTTATGGCCGTCCTTAACGCGGTTCATCGGCAACGCGTTCTCGACCCTCTTTAAATAATTTATACCAATCAAAATCACTTGATCGCGACAAACAATAATTCTGAAAGTCTTATGCACCATTCTGACAACAGACCATTTCGACAACAGAAAATTGATTCCGCACACAAAATTTAATGGAACTTATTAATTTCATTCATCGAAAAAATCGTCGAATGCACTCCAAAAAGACAAGCGTATACTAAACACTAATGATTATTTTGATGTGCCTTTGGCACAAATATCACTGACAGAAATATCACCTAGAAAAATATTTCGAAGAATGGGTTTTAGCGCGAAATGTAAATTAAAAAGTCTTACTATTTTTTCAAATTCAAAGTTATATTTCACATTTATATATTATATATTTATGTATAGTGTATAAATAGATACACAAATAGGTTCATGAAAATCGTAATTGCGTAAACCAAAAAAGTGTGTACTTAAAAAGAAGTCTGTATGAACCTTTGATTGCCATTATTAACAAAACTTATAAATCGATAGTGCCCACCGTTGAACAAAACAGCTGTTTGGCAAGTGGTCACCAAAGTTCGGCTGAATAAAACAGATTAGAATTACCATATTTTTATTGTATGATTTCCAATTAGAATTTGAAAAATTTAGTCATATATGAAATAAATTGTCATAATGAAAGTGACGACGTAGCAACAGGAATCCACCAAAGCATAGTCAACAAAGAAAATATTGTGGTATGAGTTGCAAAACAATAACAAGTTCAAGTTAGTTTGCATAATTTTTGTAATGTACTAATGACTAAACAAATGAAGTAAACTAAAGTGTTAACCCTAGCGGAAATTAAAAATGTTCTTAACATCATGTAAAACAATGAAACAAGTGAATAGATATTGAATCAATTAATAAAAAATTACTACTGATATGATGAGAAAGTTGTGAGCAATGAGTTGAAAAGAATATAATGCTATAGCAGTAAGCCACTGACATTTGGTAATATTTATATCAATTCCAAACTTTTATTTATGTACATACATACATACGTACATACATACATATGTATGCATGTACATTTTTATTGTCTGGCGCAATTACTTGTACTTATGTATATACCACTTTCGATTCCAATTCGGTCATTTTATTTTTTTAATTCTAATTGGAAACCATACAACAAAAATAAGTATATTGCAGCAACAATTTCAACTGCAAAGACAATACACTGACAGCGCTAAAGTCGGTAGATAACACAAAAAAAAAATAATTCCATAAAGATGAAGTCATTTCAAGCAAATTCTGCACACACTTAAATACGCATGGAAAGGAGATTTGAATTGAATTGTAATTTCATTAAAAAAATTTCGAAAAAATGCAAAACGGTTTGGCATAATTCAAAGGCAGGACTAAATGTAAAACACAAATACGTTGTTAACAAGTTAACTTGGACACGTTTTATTATAAATCGTAACAGAAGTGTTGGAACAGTAAGATAAAATAAATCAATTCTACTTACCGCACTATCGGCAGCCGGTGAATTCTCGTGTATTTCATATATTACATGCGGCGGTCCCGTGGTGCCCAACAGCGAAAACCCAAAACCGGAATGCTCATTACGCCGCAAAACCACTTTCAGTTCCTCGGCGGCCATTATTATGCCGCAACTGAAGCTACTATTGCCGCTGTTACAAATCCAACTGCTCAAGTTGCTTTTGTTGTTTTAAACTACTACTTTATGTTATTCAACTTTATTACTTTGAAATTTCAATTTCGGTTGCATTCACTAATGAAAGGTGACATCCGTAACTAACGTTTGTGTTTTTCGGCACAAGAAATGTCTAATATTATTTTATTCAACTTTACAATTTCATGTGATTGTGTCCTGCCTGCCGCCTGCTTTGGCGTCCGACTACTTCATTACTATGTTTTGTGCATTTTTTTAAGTTCTTCACAAAATAAGACACTTTTTACAATAACATTCACTACAGCTAACTTGGCTATTTCTTTCTTTTCTGTCTTATAATATTTCGTGCTGATGAATTCGTAGTGCTTGACTGGATTTTTGGGCTTGGTCACAATGCTGTCGACGTCACCGACGCTGTTGCCGCCAGCAACGTTGTTGATGTCGTCGACGTTGACGACGACGACGTTATTTAGGCAGCCGGCAGCGAAAAGCCAATAAACGTCTTGTTGATTTTCTTGCTTTCCACTCTTTCTCCAAATATTACACCGTGTTTGCTGCGCACTCTTTCGCGGCGAACAAACACAAACACCGAATTGTATTGAAGCAATGGCGCATCGTAGTAGCTGCTGAAACTTGCCACGGTCGATTGTTTGTTCGTTTACTTTAAACGTTCTTTTTGTTTTACTTGAAAATATATGTAATTTGAGGCCTTTAAAATTGAATGGTTACTATACGGGCTTTTCCGGGATAAGATATTTTTTCTCTTCTTTTATTTATATTATTTAATGTTGCCCTTACCTGGGTGTAACGAAGAAGCTTTGCACTTTGGCTTCTGCGTACAACATACTGTATAGTTTCTCCAATTTATTTTTATACATATAACCACATTGCACACACATAGAAAAATCATAATCTTTTCACTTCACTTAAACTATTTGCGATTTAATAACTTTCAATTTAATTCTTTTTCCACAACAAATTTCAATGGAATTACTTCTTCACTATTACTCCGACTGCCGCTGTTCGTGTCGATTTACTTCGTCCGCTGTTTGGCTGAAGAAGCGTCGTCGCCTTTGCCTAAGTCGACATCTGCGGAACGTTGCGGTCGCCGTCAACGCTGAAGCTTTTCGATCCGATATTCGCGTTTTATCCTGACAGTTCACGAAGGCCACTATATTGAATTTTTTAATTTGTATTTCGGTGATAATCACTTTATTTTAATTTCACTTGTATCTAAAAGGAAATCCTCATTAAATTTCTCATGTATTTTTTATTCTTTTTGCACATTATAGATTTTAAACCACTGAATTCGGTACGCGTACGCGGCGTATAGTAAACAGTTGTATCGCATTCAACTTCTTTGACAGTAATGGCGCTGCTTAATTCGCAGTAGCAGCCAATCGGCAAAATTGCTGTCGTTGCATGGATTTCCCAGAGTTGAGTGAAAACGGAATAAACAAGTAATATGCAAACAAATAAATTTATATATTATAATGAAGTTAATAATTCATACTAAAAAAAAAAAACTAAGTAAAATGAGTATGAATGCGTATAAATGGTCCACTTTGAAATACATTGAACAATGAAAAAAATCTAAATACATTTTTACTAAACCAAGTTAACCAATATATTTTCGGACAACTCTATTCTAATGGCAGAGAACGAACATTTTTAGCAGAGAACGTTTATCATGTTTATCTGTTTATAGAGAAGGTCCAGAGATTGTGTATTAATAAATGTACGTTCTATGTTTTATGGTATAAGGGTGTAGCAAAACTAATTACGAAAAACAAAATGCGCTATAAAAATTATTTATATTTTACTCTACTATATATATACTATTTTCAGTTTTCATTATGAAATGATGTTTAATGCTGTTAACAAATAATTAAATTATACCATCTTATTCATGGACAAACTGGAAATTAATTTTCACTTTAAGTGGACCAAAAAAGTCTTTCCTATAATATGCATAATAAAAATGTGCTTATCCAAGCGAATTATCTTGTTAGAATTTAAAAAATATCTCCTAGCTTTCTGGTAAAGTAATGTTTAATAAAAATTAAATATCGTAATCACCCTATTGCAAACATTATATTGTTAAAAAACTCCTCCATCTTTACTTGTCAAAGGGATTTGGTTGAGATAAAAATTTCATTTCGGAAACAAAGAAATTAAAGTTTTCACATATTTGTTAAAAGATATGTATAAATATATTATAGAAATATACATACGATTTTTTTAAGTTTTGTGCATATAAAACTTTTATCATGAAATTACGAGTACAGAAAAGAGGACGGAAGCGAAGTGTATAAGATATGTTGCTAAAGAAAAAGTGTAAAAAGAATGTGTCCGGGTTTTATTTTCTTATAAACACCAGAAAATATATTGTCACAAATTTGAACAGCTTAAAGTAAAAAATAGAAATTAATTAGAAAGAAGAAAAATTGATTAACTCCTCTGTGAGAATTTGGACAAGTAGCTCACAACAAAACCAGCGCCAGCGTTGCTTTGAGACGAAAATAATACATTGTAGCTATGAGTAATTATCGTCACCATGGAGGAGGCGGTGGCTATAGTGGAATCGAAATTCGAAACATGCATCCACGAATCTCTCAAAATTTCACTTACGTTAGTTCATGTGTTAAATATCTGATCTTCATGCTAAATTTCATATTCTGGCTTTCGGGAGGATTATTGCTGGGTATTGGTCTTTATGCTTTCATGGACAAATGGGAAGCTACTGGATGGGTTCGTCTAGAAACATTTTACGATGTAATACTGAACATCTCTTTAGTAATGATGCTGACCGGAATACTAATTTCTGTAGTCAGTTTTGCTGGTTGCCTTGGTGCGCTGCGTGAAAATACTTGTTTACTAAAATTCTATACTATGTGCTTACTAATGTTTTTTCTTTTGGAATTGGCCATTGCCATAATGGGATTTGTTTTTCCACATAATATGAATTCTTTTCTGGAAGACAAATTCACTGATAAAATTATACATTCGTATCGTGATGACCCAGATTTGCAAAATCTTATCGATTTTGCACAACTTGAATTTAAATGCTGTGGATTAAGCAACTCTGGATATCAAGACTGGAGTAAGCATTATTTATTTGTTAAAATCAAATTATTAAATTTCAACATTATTCGGCATTAATTTCAATATTTTTTTAGGCAAGAATGAGTATTTCAACTGTTCATCACCATCAGTTGAGCGTTGCGGTGTTCCATATAGTTGTTGTATTAACGCAACTGACATCAGTTCGGGTTTGGTTAATATTATGTGCGGTTATGGCGTTCAAGAACACTCGGTTGCGGCAGCAAGCAAACGTATTTGGACTAGTGGTTGTATTGAGATTGTTCGAGTTTGGGCAGAACGAAACTTATATACTATAGCCGGCATTGCACTAGGAGTTGCTCTAATACAACTTTTTATAATATATTTAGCTAAAACTCTAGAAGGCCAAATAGATCTGCAGAAATCGCGTTGGAATGCGTGAGTTCTTTTAATGTAAAAACAAATGTAGGGTACGATTGGTAGCAACATTTCTATATCGTAAACATGTAAACTTTCCATTTTTGTAGGTATGTTAGTTTTTTTAAACAAATAGTGTTTATAATTTTTATATAAATTTTTAATAGAGAGTATATAAGACAGTATGTTGCTCTTTTCGCTCAAACGTATTATATATTGAAAATATTGAATTTAAAACGCATTTAATACATTGATGACATTTTTTTCAATAAATCACAAACGAGAGAAACTGTTAACACGTAGGTGCTGCATTTAGCATTTTCTTACTCTAGTACTAAAAATAGAGTGTCACAAAAAAAAAGACTTGGTTTAATTTAAACTGTAGGCCGTTTTAATTGTATTCCTTTGTACTGTTTATTTTTCTCGAATATATGCAATATTATTGTAAGTAATTTTGACTACTATACCTATATATTACTGAAAATTGCAAAAACAAGAAACACTCGTATATTTATGTGTTCATTATAATCATCACATATTACATCATATTTATTTACAATATATTTATAATATACAATTTTTTTTTTTATAATTTGGCACACGCGCATCTCAGAATTACTCAAATCATTACATCTTCAAAACTTTTAGTGGGAGCACATTACAAAATCAATTGGATCAATTGAAAGTCATAATTTCAAACATGTTCGACCGACAATTGATTTAATTGAAATTAATGTAATGTTAATTTCAGTAAAGGGACCCCACTGAAATTTTAATGATTAAGAAAAATACTTTGCCTACACCCAAGAAAAGTTCTTATTAACTGTGTAATTAACAAAAGTGTGAGCAAAATTTTAACATTATTATATGTAATATAGTGGTTTTATATAAATTTAATATATTCCTTAAATTTATATATACCAAATATGTAATATAAAGCCATGCTTTAAAGAAATATAGAGTTTGTCTTTATGCAATAAAAATAATAAACCTATAATTTTGTTTTAATGCGATCATAATACTAACAGCTTATATTTAGTAATTTTTAAATAAATTTTAAAAAAATTTCGCGTTATAGTTTATACAATAGTTAGTTCAACAAATATACATATATGTCCAAGTCATCTGTACTTATCCACTCTTTTTCAACTTCTTTTCTGACTTCTTGGAGTATTGCCTTACGCTTAGCTATCAGCATTTTAGACTTTTTTGACCGCTCAGCTGAATCATTCTCCAACCTCAAAATTTCACCAATTCTCCTTCGCAGTAGCAAATCAAGTTGGTGCAGCAATGACACCACTGTTTCAGTAGTAACAGATTGTGTCAGCGGTTGTACTATTTTATCAAGCGACTTAGATAGAAAATCCAAAATACCAATTTTCATTATTGTGAAGTTGTCACATCCCTCCAGAAATAAGGTGTTTTCCTCCCAGAGATGTTTTGCTGAATTGGGTCTCTCCAGTCTTACTTCCATTCGTTGCAAAATTTCCTCGGGCACTCGCTCATTATCAGGCCGTGCACTATTTCGACTTAATGCCAATTTTAAATCACACCCTAAGTAAATTTGGGCATAAGCACACTTGTTCTGCCTACACAACTGATACAGTTTATATCTCATACTACGATAGTAATTATTATCATCACATAGGATTACGAAGTTGTTGCACTTTTCATTTTCAGATAATTTTACAGATTTAATGATATCTCTTGTTATATAAGCATTATCATTTAATTCACATATAAGCGACTTTATATTTGCCAATATTTTGCTACGTTGTAATTTCAATTCTATTTCTGGATTTAGAGTATCATCTTGTGCTTGCAGAAAATCGTCGTAACAAAGATGAATGACGTTGAACTGTTGTTGAGGTATCGATAGGATCCACCTACTAAATGTACTTTTTCCAGCAGCTGGTAAACCAATTAAGGCTACGAGGCAAATACGTGTCGACATGAATGGAACTGTACTATATCTTAGTTTATAAAAATATTTTATAAATAACACTAAAACGTATGAATATTAATTTTTCACTGATCTTTATTTTAAGAGTAGGCGGGTGTTTGTGCTCCAGATGCCGGTGTAGGTAATGAGTTTAACCCTGCTGCAACTACCTTTGACGATGATGTTGAAGATTGGTCCACTTGTTTCTGGGTCGTTTCAAGCTCTTGAATTCGTTTTTGGTTTATGTCCGTTTGTACTTCAACATAAACATTCATCATTTTTTGATTAAAACGCGCAAATTTTGTTACACATCTATCTATACAGGTGTTCTATAAATATTAAATGATTTGTTTAACATAATAAATTGATTATGATGCAATATATTAATTACCTCGTCATTGGTTAATTGCCGCTCATAGAGTGTTTCTACACATCTCGAGAAGCACAACTCCGTGACTTTATTATATAGTGTCAGAAAATCTTTAAGCTATGATACAAAATAAAAAACAAATGTAAATTATTAGTATACATGAAAACTGTTAAGAGTACTCACATTTCGTAAATTTGGATCCATTGAAAGAGATTCTGATATTTCTTTGCAATTACGGGAAAATAATAAATGTTCGATGTCAGCTGTTATGAATATTCACAATGATATCCTAAAAGCTAATAAATATTACGTCATATAAAAATTTAATTATTAAACCGATATCAGTGACAATAATGGTATTATCAATATGAATTGTTTATCAGGTTTAAACTTTAACATTTAATTCAATTGGGTTTATCTTCTCCACGTGTAGACCTTATGTAAAAAACTTTATGTTCCATGAACCGGATGAGTACTTACTTACTATTCCCATCAACAGCTGGCGTTGACTTTAAATGTCATCGTTCTCGTGTTTTCCTTTGTTTATTATTTTCCGGCAAAATATCGTCAACATTGTTGTTGCTCCATACCACTACAATCATGGGAAACACCGTCCTTCACATAATCTTACATATAAACTATAAAAATGTACAAAGCGCCCGCATATGACGTTTTCGGGTTTGGTACACCCACTTTGTATTGCCAATTGACCATTCGTAGCTGTCAGTTTTCTTTCGAGTGGCGTGAAAATCACATTATATTGTGACTAAATAAACTTTGTTACTATTTATGTCTATTTTTGAGTACAAATATAGACTTCGTGAACCTAAAAAATAAAACCTAAGCAATAATAAAGGTCAGCATTATTGAAACAGAGAAATATAAGTACATATATAATAAATACAGGTAGGTTTAGGCAATGGAACGTAGATATATAAGACCAATTTCGCCTCGAAATTAATATGGCGGCCATGGCTCAAGGACAGACGTGTTCAAAGAGGCATGTGAAAAATGTGTGAATATATGTATTTATATACATATTTATATTAAAACATTGCCCTTATTTTAACCATCCATTTATTGTTTTGTGTTGACATTTCGTATGCATATTGGTAGAATGTGAATACTCTCTAGTAATTGTGAAAAGCTGCGCAATTTCCTTCCACTTTTGCTTTAAATTTGCTTGATTAAGTAACAACCGAAAATTTAAGATTTCTAAAGAGGTTTTCTAGTTTAAAATATCGCCACCTAATATAAAAATGTTTGTACTTCTTCGGAATACCTATACCCAGTGCTCTCGTTTGGGAATTATAAACAAATTCACTTGCGGAACTGCTCTAAATTGTTATGTTCCTCCTAAAAGGACTTTATCAATTATTGGTGGGTCTGCAGTCATAAATCAGAGAAGTTTCTCAGGTGAGACTAGTTTTAGTCAATAGTGAATAGTGAAATGGTATACGAAAAAAAAAGGCAAATTTATATGTGCCTAATAGTTCATTATATTTTGATTACAAAAAGATTCGACACAGTGAAAGTTTTCATTACCGTTTAGTACTTAAACCAAATTTTCCACGTATGTACATATATCATATATCTACATATACTTATATTGTTAGTGTATAGTATTTGTAACATTCAATACATGCGTGGCTACGATTCGAGTGTTTACAATCTCAGCATTGCTGAATATAAATATTTGATATAAAAATAAAAATATTTTAAAACGAATACCAAATTTGGGAAAAATCTATGATGAAACGCTGAATATTATTCGTAGCTACACGAGTATGGATTTCTCATATAGTATGTATGGAGCTCCAACCAATTTTTAATATTTAGAGTTATACCAAAACAAAATTAACTTTTCATTATTAAAAATTTTAAATTGTACGAAACTGGTTTATTATTGCAAAACTTTTTTGTTTATTACAATGTGATTAAATGTACATACAGGAGAATAAATCTAACACATTGTTAAGAGTATTCATATTACTTTATCTTAACTGCATTTGTAGGAGTATATAGCTCTTAATAAAAAGTTTTTAAAGCCATACGCTTTCCACCATAAATTCACCTTTAAAAAAGACTATCAAAGTATCACATGATAGCATGCATTTGTGCTATATAAATATACTAATGATTTTTTTAAGTTGAGCACTAAGGTTGTGGGATTTATTGAAATAACCTAATTGCTATCTAACTGCAAATTCATTCAATGACGAAGCAAAATATTTTAAGAGCTAATAACTGATTACACTACAAAGATTTTTTGTTTTTGCGGTTTTTGTTTGATTTATAAGATTAAAACAGATTAAATAAAAATCCTTAATTACAGATAAACCACGCAACCAAAAAACTACAGATAGTTTACTGCAAGAAAAGATGGAGAACAAATCTGAAAAAATTAATGTAAATAAGGAAGAGCTAAAGAAACGTCTAACTCCACTACAATATCAAGTGACACAAGAAGCAGCTACAGAGCGACCATTTACAGGTGCGTGGTCAATTTTGTGTTTGAAATACTAAACGGAAGTAATATTTTTTGAATATATATACCTCTAGGCTGTTATAATAAGCACTATGAAAAGGGCGTATACCGTTGTATAGTTTGCCAGCAAGATCTATTTAGCTCGGATAGAAAGTATGATTCAGGTTGTGGATGGCCCGCATTCAATGATGTGCTTGACAAGGGCAAAATAACCCTGCATCGTGATGCTAGCATTCCAGGTAAAGAATGAACAATTAACTTACGGTTAATAGATATTTGCCTGCAACTCTCGTTGATACTATATATGCGCGTACTCTAGTGCACGAGTACGTATGTATGTGTATGCATATTGTAGTTACCCGTATCGGTGGCAAATACAGTTAAAATTACATATAGTACATTTGGTGATTTATAAATTTATTTTATACTTTGCTTTTGAATTATTTGAATTGCTAAGTATTTTTGATGCATTTATACTTCTTAATTTTAATTTTTTTTTTTTTCACCTATTTGAAATTTAATCTGTAAAATAATAGGTTAACCAGGTTCAGAGCAATTATCAATAGCATATAATTTGACAGCAACAGTATACATTCTCAAATTAGTTTGGTAACAATTTAATTATTACTTTCTCAACCTCTGATTTTATACTCGAACAGTGTAAATTATGTTTGAATTGAGCTTGTAACGCTCTAAAGGAATCGTTGGAGATCGAATTAAATGTATAAGATTTGGCTATGTCCGTCTGTCTGCATATAGGGAAACTAGTTTCAGTTAGAGATATCGATCTGAAACTTTGCACCCGTTCTTTTTCTCCCCAAGAAGCTGCCCATTTCTCGAAACCGTTTAAGTTGCACCACTAAAGTATGTTTAATGCTGTCATACAAACTGAACGTCAAAATTATATTTATTGCTGTCATTGAACGTCAAAATCATATCCTTAATGAAAAACTTGTTTATTTAAGGATATATCTTTCTGTGGCACGGTTAGTTTTCTAAAGTAATGGTGCAATCTCAAGTGTTCAGATTGAACTACTAAAGCATATAGTTGCCATACAAACTAATCTATAAAAATAATGTATTTGTATGGAATCTTTAGAATTTGTAAAGAGTATTTAAATTTTTATTAAATCGTTATGAGAGATAAGTAACTATAAATTTTAACAGATTTTAAATTTTATTTTTTACTGAGCAGTAGGTAATCCCCGACTATAATCAAACTGTTTTTGTTTTTTGCTTATTTATGTATGTATATTTTTTCCTTTTTTGTAGAATGTATGTTCATACTCGTATTAGTATGACATATGCGCTCCTAAATAATTCAATTTAGTGATTTGTAATTACCGTAAACGCTTTGTAGATGATGTCTTGTCTTCCGTTCATAGCAAATATGTGTATAATGGATGTAGATTTTATTGTATTCGTTTGCTACATAAATAATACCTATACAATGGAATTGTAAACGAGAGTTCAAGGTTTTTTAAATTTTTTTGTGCGTGTGGGAATGCGTCTATTTAAATGTATGTTCTATTCGTCCAAAGTTTTATAAGCAACATTTGAATTCAACGAATTGTAGCAACATACAAAAAAATTGATTTCCCTCGTTTATCTATGTTGTTCGTTTCTGTACATATATCCATACATACATGTTTCTATAGTGTATTATTAAAAATTTTGCTCCCTTTAAATAAAAATTTCTCTTCCTTCCTTCTTTTTAACTTGCCGCAACACTTAATACTCGTATGTGTTGTAAAAACACACGGTTTGAAATTTTAAATAACTGCATAATATGCAATTGAAATACTGTACTCAAACACTGGATAATTTCTAAAACTAAACAAATTATTCAATATCAATTGAATTTCTAAAAATCTTTTCTACATACATACTCGTGCATTGATTATTACACCACGCTTTTTACTGACACTCATGCACAAATTGGATAAATTGAGAAATTTCAATACACTTATACATATGTAAATGTGTTAATAAAAAGTAGTAGTAATTTCGAAAATGTTAGGCATGGTGCGAACTGAGGTGCGCTGCTCCAAATGCTCCGCGCATATGGGACACGTTTTCGATGATGGCCCGCCACCAAAGAATCTCCGCTACTGCATCAATTCGGCATCGATTGATTTTGTACCGCTAAAGCCCAACAGCAACATTGCCTCTGGTTCACCTTCCTCAACTGCTTCTTTCTCAAAAGGGCATGTGAAAAAATAATTATCTGTTTACGTGTTAATTTTGTTTTCATAATCTAAACAAGCAAATTTTTTTTATTCCTTAGTACATATACAAAAATGGTACATATTGTTATTTATAGAAGAAACAAATATTAAATTGTATTGTTATTATAACAATTTAAAAGAGCGAATGTATTTTTGATAGAAAATGTAATGTGGATCATGATAAATTTGCCTTGGGTATATACTTAATGAACATATACATATTCACTATAATGTATTTCTTTTAGAAATTCGATATTTTCGTATGAATTGTCATTTATATTGGTGACATTTTTCTTGGGAGAGGTAAAATATATTCCACCAGAGAGATATTTGGATTTAATTTCTCTTGACTATGACGTTTTTCATAATTTTTATTTACATATACATACATACATGCACATATGGGTACATAAATTCATTTAAACATTGACTAATTCATATACATATATGGTTTAGAATTAACGCTTGCTGGTGTTTTTTATATAAGTTTGCTTGAAAACAATTTGTTGACTTTATCAATGTGGTTATAAATTGTGACAAGCGTAGAGAAATTAAAAAATGTCGCTAATTTCGATTTCGATTGGCAGGGTTGCGATTTATAATAAATAATATAATAAATTTAATGAGAAAATATTAATTTTTTGAACGTTTTAAGTTTACCGACCAGTGCTCTAGAGTATTGAACATGATTTATCTGTGTGAGCTCTAGAAATTAATGGTTAATTCTGAAACAATTTAGTTCTTTAATTAATTATATATTATACTTGGGATTAAATTTTTTTGCGATAATTTATTAATTTTTTTTTTTTGTTTTGTATAAATTGTTTTCTTTAACATGTATTTGGAATTAGAAATTTAAAAACTATCTTTAATTGAGATTTTCATGACTACAAAATAAAAGAAAATTTTAATTAAAATGATAGTTCAATTATCAATTTTGTTTCAATGCATTACTTGCAATCTTGCTTGGTGGAACTTCTTTCTTTATATGCTTTCCGCAAAAACTTTCTTACAACACATCAAATGCAGAGTTCGAGTCGCGATCAAGTTTGTTAGTTTCGCGCACGAACGCGTTAGATATAATAATATACTACATTCTGTGCCTACGCATAACTTCGATTACGTTATAATAAATCGCACTACGAGTGCATAAAATATTTTGTATCCAGATATGAGCGCCCACCAAGTATAAATTGACTATAATATTATTTCTTTTGTTTACATTTTTGTTTTTAATATTTTCATATTCATGTCTACACCAAATGCTGCTTATCAAAATGTTATTAAAACCATTGTTTTAAAACTAAAAATATATACAGTTGTTTATATATGAAATTTTGACTTTGAAAATAATACATTTTTTTCGTATATTTTTTCTATTTCTCCCTTTTTCGCTTTTTATACATGTGCCTGTACGGGGGTCTGAAAAATTTACACTCATTACAACACATAATTATAAAATAAACGCATTAATGTTTGCTAATACATATTTATATCGAAAAATGCACAATCGCATATTAAAATCTATTGCATACGTCATTCATAAAATAATTGATATGTCATAACATACATATCGTTTTTTTTTGTGTTTTCAAAATTTGTTAAACAATGCTAAACAACGCTCATGCTTATCATAATTTTATATACAATAAATTACCTGTAATCAAAAATAATAAACTGACATTCTACGTATTTCATTCAATGCACAAACATTTACTGAATTAATTTTACTCTTTGCTGATTTTCTATTTAATAATGCAATTCGCATTTCATCGTTTACCCTAATCATTTCTCTTCATTCTTCTATCATCGCTTCGTTGTTATTTTTATTTCTATTTATTTTGCTGTCTATTTTCACTCTCATCGATTGTTTTTCACCAATACATTTTATATTCTGCTATACTGCTGCACTATTCATTTGTTCAACATTTGTTTTTGTATTTGTCAACATTTTCCGTTAATTGTTTTATTTTTATTATTATTATTTTTTTGATACAATAAAATATTTGTCCTTTGTGCCCTCTCAAATAAAATTGTTAAAATAAAATAATAATATGGCTCCATCAAAAACAACAAAACCTTAAACCCAAAATTAATTTACACCAATTGCAAATTAACTGAAAAATGCAAAATTCAACTTGAATAATCATAAAATACATCTCTATGGATTGTGCATAATTAACATCCTTTGTATTTTTTACCTGCCCATCACCAAATATAATATGTAATGTATACAAAATAATATGCTGTATTTATATACATATGTACTATTTATAAATATAAATGCGTATAACCCACTTGTGCAAAACAAATCAATTAAAAGGGGGTAATATTTTACTACTAATTAAACATCCAGAACGCATACGCACAGAAGTACGCTGCGCTCGTTGTAATGCCCATATGGGGCACGTCTTCGAGGATGGACCCAAGCCCACTCGCAAACGGTATTGTATAAATTCGGCTGCAATCAATTTCGTCTCGGCCGACGAGTTGAACGATACCAATGGTGTAGGTTTCACCGAAAGCACGCCCACAACCACCGCCACGCCCATTGTGCAGCAATAACGAACAAAATGCGAATGCGAATACCTGAAATGGATAAATGACGAAAACGGTACAAAAGCTGAAAATTGAATTAGATAGTTGTGAAATTTTATTTAAAAATTATTTGCATACATACATATTAATGTATGAAAATAAAGTATAAATAAGCAAGCCAAATTGTGGAATAATGGCAGTTGCCAAATATGATAAACTTCTCAATAATAACAAGCGAAATTATCCACAAGAGAATCAGAAAAATATTTTCTTTTCAATTCAATAATAAGCAATTAAATTGTGGTTTGCTATAATCGATAGTATTTTAAGATACCATAGCTATAAACTAAAAATCTGTAAATGGCGTTAATCTTTCTGGAAAATATGCCTAATAAATTGGAACCAAAAGTATTCATGTATACATATATAGATAGTGCAAACTCTTGCATTTTTGCATATGCATATGTATGTCGGTATGTATGCAATGGGCGCTTATCTGTTAACATAAAAAAAAACGGAGAATTAAAAAATATCCGCCAGAAAAGAAAACGCTGTAAAAACTTTTTCAAACAGTAGTAACAGTTTTGTTAAACAGAACCTCTATTTTCCAGAATTTTATTGCCCATAATTCCAATGTATACCAAATATTTGTACGTAATTTTTATTTTACAATTATTATATTAAAGTTAAATTATTAGTCACGGTTGTTAATAGTCAATTAGCTTCTCAATTGTTTGTTTCACCATAAATTGTCATGTTTGTATCCATGTAAATAATGTTCTTCTGTTATTTTCTAAACTAATACTATAATAAAGAAAGAAACTTTGATTTTTTTGATAAAACCAAAAACATATTGTTTTTATTTATTCTAACTTCAATCGAAAGCGAATAATAACAAGTAAGGTCCTTCTCTTCCTTATTGGTGTTACCACACATTTTATGCTCTCGTAATTTGCATTTGAAACGACTGGCGCGCTTTTGTTAACTCGGCTATAATCGCGTAAGCGGTATCTACGCCAATCAAGAAGAATTTGCAAGGATCAAAGCCGGGGACATACATATTTTCAGATGTAAGCAAAACTTTTTATAAAAATGTGTTGCATAAGAATGAATTAACTTTCATTATGAATTTAACTTTTATTATTCTACGAAAAAGTGAATGGATTACAAACATATTTGTTACCCTATTAACTTCTACTATAAGTAGAAATTTTGATTTTTGAAAAAATAAATATTTTTAAACTCGGCTATTGTGATGACATTTCCGGTGACTGTTTTTTAGTTAAAACCTTAACTTACGACTTGGCAGACATTAAAAAAAAATGAAAATTTCGAGAATGTCTTTTTTTCAATTCTTTAAGAACTGATTGAAAATCGATTTTTTTAAAACCGTAAAACCATGTAACTCCTTAAATCAAATTTGACCCGGCTTAGTCCATTTAAACGGCGTGCAAACAGCAACGATAAACAAATTTTCTCTAGAACATTGTTTGTATAAAAAATTGAATTACGAAGTTACGCGAAGTTTCAGGCCATGAAGTCATCGAAAACTTGCCTCATGTGAGTCGTCCATCGAGGAGAATATCAAATAGTTAAGTAAACAGTGTGTTTACGTCAGAACGTTAGCAGAGGATCTCAACACATTTTGATTAACATTTTGGATTTGAAGCATGTCCATGCTACACACGTACTAAAAGATCTGAATATTTTGCAAAAACCACGTCGAATAGAGATCGCAAATGAAATGCTTGACAAAGTTTCTGAGGACCATGCAATGATCAAATGTATGATTACTGAAGACGAGACGTGGGTTATCTTTCGAATAACGATCTAAAAATGAGGCGAAACCGAAAAAAAAAATCGCTGAAGGTACTGCACACCATACCACCGAGGCGTGTATGAAAATTGGATTACAATTTGGTATACTTGAGTTGGCTCAGTAAGAAATATATGATACAAACTAAACTAAAGAGGCGAAGTTTAATAGTCCGAAAGTCGGAAGCTATTGTACGTTTATTTTTGTGCTAGGGAAAAGCTTAAAGTTTAAAGCATAAACTTTTGACTCAAATATACTTGCGAACACGTATCCGTTGAGATTTATACGTATAATGTACATACATAGTATTATTATCCGATATTATCATCATCATTCTTTAGCGCTACAGCTCTGTGTGAACTTCGACTTGCTGCACATGTGCCCTCTTGACATCTCGGTCATTTGCGGTTTCTTTATAATTTGATATGCCAATCTACTTTATGTCATCCTTGAGTATATTGATCGTGATCTTCCCCTTACTTTTTTTGTGAATGCTGTGGTCTTTATTTTTTATTTTTTTATTTTTGCGAGCTTTTTTAGTACATTCTCCCATGTTAGTCGCGCTTTGATTTAGCGTATAACATTTCCACCTTTTATAAGCTGAACTAGCTCATCGTTCCACCTTTTTCGGCACTCGTTATGATCTTTTAATGCTCCAAAAATTTCTCTGTTCTGTCTTTCAGTTGAACAGTTTCATTATGCTTGGATTCTATCTTTGATACTTGTAGAGTAATCGCTACTGTGTTCGAGGCTAGAGTCAGTGAAGTTTTGAAATTCATATTGATCAATTTTTACTCTTGGGACTGGTTTGTGTGTTCTGGATATCATCTCCTTGTCTTACTCCAGACTTAATTCTGAAGGATTCGGACTTTCTGTCTTGTATAATTACTTTGGATACGGTTTTACGTAAAGACATCATTACAATTCATAGATGTTTTTCTGGTATTTTGCAGCTCCGAAATGTCGCGGGGGCAAATTATCATTCCTGAGATATAGGATTTCACCTAAGTATGAGCGGTTACTATAGTTTTCGCTTGTACAGACATATGTATATAAATAACATCACAAGACCCGTCACGTCGTACGCATCCGCAGAGACGTCGTTCAGTGTGTACCGAAAGCGGCATTGCTGCTATGGATCAGAGTATGGAATAAAATCCAAATGAGTTCACCAGTCATCGCGCGGAACAATTGGAGCTGTGCCCATCAACTTTATAAAAGATTTTACGAAAAGATCTTTTTTTTTTTTGCGGAATTAAAAAGTCAAACGACCATCAAGCAGATCGCATATTCGGCGAATGGGCCTCAACGAGATGGTCTCCGATCGCGGTTTTACCAAGAAAAGTTGGTTCAGCGAAATGCTCACTTTTGATTGAATGGCAATGTTAATAAACAAAGTTGTCGTAATTGCGGTGATGATAATGCACAAGTAATTGTTGAAACGTCGTTACATCCTCAAAAAATTAACTGTATTGAAGCTGTTTGGTGTGATCTATGGGCAGAGGGAGTTATTGGTCCATATTTCTTCAAAAATGAAGCTGGGCATAATTTTACAATGCTGGAAAAAGTTGTCGAAAATTGAGCCTTTTGGCTAGAATTTTTCAAGCCAACTCCCAGACTTACTCGTCATATAGTATACTATACGATATACAATATATGTATAACCCTATAACTATCTCAATTATTTTTAAGTGGAACTGTTATATACATGTTGCGAGAGTATAAATATGCCTCTTGATCCTGAAGCTTAAGTATTGCTTTAGGATCGCTGTAGCCAGGGACCTGATTGCAATACAAAAACTCAGAAGAGTGGTGTGAAGCATACGAGTATGTGTATCGTCACCTGAAATGCAAAATAACGTATCATTCAAAAATTCGAAATTGAGCGCGTTATTAATTACACTGCATTACTTCAAAATGCATACATAATATTACATATGTTCAACATTTTCAGGGTCTGCACTCAGCCATAAACCCGTCTTAACCAATATTAAAATTTTTTTCACTCATGTTCCATTTTATTTCGTTTTTCATTCATGCCACTGTAAATTTTCGAAAATGTTGTTGTTATTATTTTGAATTTCAGGTGACGATATGTAAATATATATATGTACATATGTATGTATGTACATACTTGGTGCTGATGTCATTTGTGGCATATGCCTTAAAGCTAACTTAAAAATGGACCTACATTTAAAATAAGTTCCTTCTGCGTCATGCAGCGGAAGGCATTCTCCGGAATAGCTTTGAGAGCCGAGGTGCATGCTGCTTGGATCCCCTTTCATCGGCCTTTTTAGGCAGAGAAACATAAAAAGTCCGGGAGGCCACATCTGGACAATGGGGCGGCTGAGAAAGCGTTGGGATGTCGGCTTTGGTTGGGTAGCTGTTCACAAGAAAGGCAGTGTTTTGGTGCAACTTCCAACTGGCTGCGATGTCTTGTCGGACTCGGTTAACCCTTTGTTTGAGTCTCTTGAGAACTTCCATGTAAAACTTGGCGTTGACGGTTTGTCCAGGCGGAATAAATTAATAATGGACGATACCTTTGATATCAAAAAAGACAATGAGCATCGTTTTCATTTTGGATTTGCTTCTTCTTCAAGAAATGTTTCTGTCGCAGATTTACAGAGTTTCACTCAGAATTTAATCGCGTACCTCTGCTCTAACGAACGCTGCATTTTCGGCTTGCACCACTCACCAAAACACGTCGCGCGAAAATGTGTGTCCGGACTCTCCAGGTGCTCAAAGACAACTGATCAGCCGCTCGTTATTTAGCTAGAAACGCCCTTTACCGAATCCAGTCGGTACATTACTTTCCGGACAAACCATGTATGTTTTAGGTCTACTTCCGACCAACTAATTAAATTTCCTCACTTTTGAAGGCAATTTCTACAAAAGGGTGAACGCCAATAACCAATCGGTCCGATAGGTAAGTAGCAGAGTTAGGAGAGAGAGAGCATACGACAGAAATGTTAATACTAAATAACATTTATTGATTAACATTAACATTTTGTGATAAAACTCAGACACATAGACAGGTGGTTAACGAGTACACACATACACTCAGAGCGCGCTCAGAGAGTACCCGGCGGGTAATGGGCTGCCAATCACTGATCTTGTTCATTTTGGCGAAGAGCAATACATTGTAATTAATAAGGTTATGATTTGAGTTAAATTGTTTACTTACGATTGCCCCTATTAATAATTTCATTTAAAAAAGCAAGCGCTACAAATGAATGAAGCTATATTTTCAGCAATCAGACAGTCAACCTGTTAAACGTTCAACTTTAAGAAGCTATCAAGTGACAAGTACTTATATACATATACATATGTATGTATGCACTTGAATGTTTATGTCAACATATTTAGATCTAAATGTTTAGTTTTTAATAGTTAATCAAATAAAAATGAAATAGTGTATAAATGAATTAAATTTTGCGTATAAGAAGGAATAACGGGTAAAGTAAGAGGTATACACTTATACTCGTAGTGTGCATGAACAGTGATAATAGCATGCACATGAAGTATCCTCTAATTGGCTACTTAAGATGATTCTCATCTTAAGCCGATAAATTACCAAACAAGAAAAATATGGAACCTTTGAAGTGCTACATTTACACTTACAAACATATGTACCTGCATAACAATATATGAAATGCATATGAAGACTTTTGTTAAAAAGCAATATATGTTTTATATACGAACTGCTTCGATACAGACATGACATTTCG